ACCGGTTCGCCTGCAGCAGAGACATAAACTAAGTACATACCCTCCTCCTGATTTTGTTTATAATAATTATAAAATGCGGCCTCACACATGCACCCGTAGGACTCAATCAGACTACTAGCTTTGAACTTGTGTAATCTGGCRGTCCCTCCACCTGGCAAAGTGTGTTTGACCACTTTTCGATCCCAGTCAAACTGGGGCTGTGCCACAGAGAGGTAGTACATACCTAACAACATATCCATGGGGAGTTCGTCGCTTACTAGGAAGGAGACACGATGCCTCAAGTCTCCTCCCGAGTAGGGGAAAACACACTCCACATTTTGGAGGTAGTCATTGACTACCATGCGCTGTTTGTTGGCACAGGTCGACTCCACAGGTCGACTCAGGCGCTGCACTTGCCCCTGTAAACGCAGCCTCTCAACACACGCGCGACTAATAAAGTTCCTAGTCGAGCAAGTGTCATAATAGGCCCCGGCCTTGCGGCCGCCAATGACTACCTCGCTGACGAACATCTCACCCTTCGGGGCTTTGACTACTGTCGTCCAAGAAGCTAGCGGGTCTGACCTAGACCACTCCACCTCTAACTCCTCTAAGGACTCAAACACATTCATGAAACAGAGGCTCGATGGGTCTGAATGTGCTTGCGGGACGACGCTGGAGTCAGTAGCTTGGGCCATCTCTCGAGATGGTGAGGGTGTCTCCACCATCTCGACCCTAGCAGGAACAACTACTATTCCTACTGGCCCGACGTGTTTTCCGGAGCACTGCCTGAAGTACTGGCAACATTGCTACCAACGGGTTGAGAGGATCCCAACACCTGCCCCATTGTAGGCGGGATCTTTTCCATCACTTTCTTGTTGCGGCACTTGAATTGGTTGTGGCCATATTGACCACAACGAATACAGACCTGCCGTGAGTAGCGGTCTCTCCACACGTCCTCAGTAAGACCCGCTTTCTCCCATGGAGGAGCGTTCGGGTCAACTTGACTCCTAGACCCGGAGCCTCCACGGCGTCTACCGGTCGCCTTTCCTTTTTGAGAAACGACAGCGACTACTCCACCCTCTGAAGCGTCTATGCTGCCTCCCTCTGAACCTACTTCCTGGAAGTTGTCGTCCAACTCGATGGTGGAACCATAGTTGTCGACAAACATCAAGTGACCTTTCGCTTTCCAGTTAGAAGGCAGTGTCTTCTTCCTCCCATCCGTAGTGGGTGCCTGTCCATGCCCTATCTTAGCTTCAAGGTCTAGGGCCACCTTGCTGAACGAAGGGAAGTTGTGCATATTGATATTGGCCTCTTTTGCCAACTGGTTCCTGAGAGGCTGAGAAAAGCATCTCAAGAACGAAGTCAACAGGACCTGGGGGTCATAGCGCACCCCAGGGACACAGATCAGACGCTCGACAGCGTCGGTGGCTTCCCTTATTGACTTAAACTGCCGCGTGTGCAGTGTCAGGATCGCATCAGTGGCCCTTTGGGCCTCCTGATGATCATGCCACCTTTCTTCCACCATCTTCAGAAAGTCTTCCAATTTTTGGGAGGCCGCCCAAGCGAGGAAGTCATGACCATACCCCTGGAGTTGTACCAAACCACTCAACCATCTTGTTGCACTACCCTCTAGGTAGGAAGCAGCCACAAGCACTTCTTCATGCGGCAAGGTGAGTTTACACCTGATGTAGACCGGCACTGCCCTCAACCACGTGTCGAGGTCTTCGCCCCTCTTATCCCCTGTAAAAGGTTTGGGAGCGGTGATGGCCGTCTTTGGAACCAACTGAGTTTGTCCCGGTCCCTGCATCACTCCGGGCTGTGGACCCAGTGACACAGGTTGTTGTGCTAGCTGGTGGGGCTGCGTGCCCTGAGGCTGCACAGGTTGCGAGACAGCAGGCTGCGTGGTGACTGCAACCTGCGACGGACTTTGAGTAAACATTGTCTGTACAGGAACCTGCAAACTACTCCCTGCTGTTACCCCTCCTGACAGCGGCATGCCCAGGGAAACGATAGCAACCGTTGGCGGGGCTACATATGGGGATACCCCAGTCACCGGTGGGACAGAAAAAGGGGGATATGGCACGGGCCAGGCACCAGGCCCGGCTGGTAATGGTGTTGCCTGCGCACGGCCTGCCAAAACGGCTAGGCTCTGTTGGATGTCCTGAAGGATGGTAGTTTGATGCTCCTGCATCTCTATTACGCCTAGCAGGGCCTTCCTAACTATCCTCACATCAGCATCCATGTTCAACAGGTCCATCGTTTCTAACTCCTCTATATCTGCCCCTCTTCGCTGCATCCTGACTCTTCTTCTGATCATCCTTTCCTTTTCCGCTTTTATCTCCCCTAATGCCCACTGTAGCTGTGCCTCCTGCAGGGCTGCCTGCTGGATGGCGACATCCTTTGGAGTCAACACTAATGCCTGGCTTGCCATAACGCTAGTGGACTGACTCACGGTCTGCTCGACCGTTGACCCGACGACACCTGAACTACTGGCTTTGGAAGTCTGCTGCGCAGAAGTGATCATGGCGAAAGTAGCCATGGCTGCTGTAGCACCGGCCTCACTAGCTAAAGTCCTGCTGGCCTCGGCTGCTCTAGCTCTCCTCTGTTGTTGCTGCCTCTCACTAAGCTGGCGGAACAAATGTCTGTCACCCTCTGGTCCTAATGCCAAATGGGCTACTCGGCGCCTCGCCGATCGCAAGATCCGGTCGTCCTCTCTAGTGTCCTCCTCGTCGCTCATAGGCTACAACGCTGTGCACCGTCTACACTAGGACACTCTAGGTGCCTACCGCAACATAATGCTCAGACCAACGAATTAGTTGGTGGCTATTTTGGAACAGGTACCACTTGAGGGCAACAGGTAAGTCAGATTCCTACAACTGAAACTATTTTTAGTCTGACTAGTCCACAAACAGAAACACCAGGAACAATAAACAGTTCTAACTAATGTTGTCTGTCAGATGTCAATGGCAGTACATCTAACTAATCCAAAACATAAAAACAAAATCATTTGTGTGGATAGGACAGCATGGAATGGAATCAACCCCTCCCTTAGTTCCCCTGAGTATCACTTGACGTCAGCGTCCCTGAGCAATCTGGAGAGCGTTGCGTGTCTAAAGGTGTGTGTCCGGCCCACCCCTGTGCCCCAAGTATCCACTGAGCTGGCCAGCCTTGCACGTATATTTATCCTCGGCGTGCCGTGAGCCTTACATCACTGGCTGATCCAGAGGCATTTTAACGTTCGCCCCCAAGTGACATCAGGAATTATTTTACGTCGCAGCAGGACGACGATCACAGCCAGTGATATCCCCTTCCCGTGTTTATTTATAGACGTCGGGAGCTCGTCTTTCCTGTAGGGCTGGCCTGCCCAGTAGTACCCATCTAACAGCGCAGCAAGCCGAACAAAGGACAAGCAGCAAGGCATGCGTGCTCTACTCCCTGTGGGTTGGCATGGTGACCGTGACCCAGTGCTTCGTCCAGGGCCCTTCAAAAAGCTCTGCCCATCTCCACCAGATGCTCCACGTGAACATTGCCGACTCTCAAGGTTGAGCGCACTCGACACCTCACGATGAGAGGACTCTCAAGAAGGAACACACAACATCACGGTAAGAAGTGTTGGAGAGGGAAGATAAGGTTAAGAGCAACGTACCTCAATTAGCTGCCCCCAACCACAGAGATAATCTCACCAGATGACCAAATGGCGATTGCGATGACCAGTC